AAAAAAAAAAACAAAGAAAGCACACACACACAATGAATACCATAATATATAAACAAAAGAAAAATACCTAAACATAGTAATATGAGACAAAATAAAAATCTACTAAAATAATGTCAAGTTCATTTTGTGTTGGCCCTGCGGTGAAGGGAATGGGGCTTTCCCTTAAGTGTAGTTAATATACCCAATTAGATGCCACTGGAGAAAACTAATTTTTTCTTGCAAGCTGCTGTCAACTGTAAGTAACTTCTTAGTTAGGGGTGGGAGCCATGTCTATTTCTTACTCTCAGCACTGGAGCCTGGTCTGGCTTGAACCTAGGCAAGCCCTGTGAGTTCTGAATGAGGCTGGTCTCTCTTTAATCATAGTTGATTTTTCACCCTCTACCAGCCAGCTTCAACTGTCCCAGTAAGGCAAAGGTTTTACTTTTAGAGACTCTTAATGTGTAACACAAGTGGCCCTGATAGTTTTTGCTTCTCTTTGAAATATCACAAGCCAAGCCCCCAATTGTCTGCACTTCTCCCAACATTCCTATCTTCCAAGGTCATTAAGTTCTGAGCATTCAACAAGCTTTTTGAGCACAAATCTCCAAAATCCTTCCATGATCCTCCCCAAAAGCAACATGGTCGGGTTAATCACAGTGATACTGCACATTCCCCGTACTGACTTTTGTCCTGTTTACTTTTCCTTTTGCTGTGATAAACACCATGACCAAGAGCAGCCTGTAAAGAAAAGGGTTTATTTGGTTCACAGGTTGTAGTCTATAATCTAGGGAAAGCTAAAGCAGGTACTCAGGGCAAGAACTGAAGCAGAGACCATGAAAGAATGCTGCTTACTGCTTCACTGCTCAGTAACCTTTCTTATACAGCTCAGGGCCCCTTGCTCATGGGTCCCACTGTCTACAATGGCTTGGGCTTTCCTATATCAATCGTTAACCAAGAAAACGCCTCCATAGCCCAGCTTGATGGAGGCAATCATCCTTGGCTATGTAGCAACTTAGAGGTCAGACTGGCATACATGAGGGGGTGGGGAGTGAAGGATGTCTCATTGAGATCTTATTCTCAAGGTTCCTTCTATTCATGTAACTAGTTTGTGAGAAGTTGACAAAAACCAACCAGCATACCTCTTGACTTGAGAAGTATCTACAAAAACCAAGAAATACTGTAACTTTGGTAAAGGACAGATAAAATTTTACCAGAATATTCATTAAGTACAAAACATAGTTTTCAAATATGGTTCTGGCTAGTACTGCTTCTGCCCAAAATATCTAATTGAAAGGTTCTTCTATTATTCTTAGTTTTATAAATTGATTGGCCCAGGAATCCCTTGTTTTGTGCCCTGACCCTGACCCCACACCTCCCATGTCAAATAGCCCAGGCTGACCTCTTGCTGTGTAGCCAAGGATGATATTGAACTGCTTTTCCTGCTCTTACCTTCCAAATGCTGGGCTTAGATATGCGAGCCACCGTGCCCGGTTTATACCATGCTGAAGTAAAACCCAGTGTTTTGCGAACAAGCATTAAATCTGAGTTAAATCCTCAGCGTCCAGAAACTTGTTTCCAGAATAAAGCAGACATTCCGACTGAAAGCACAGCATTAATGGGTCATTAGCTTTCCTCTTCATTCCACTCCATCAATTTTGTCTGCAGAGCCACGGAAAAGCAGAAACTTATTGAAGGCCCGCTTCACATTACTGTAATCTGCAGCACTGATACGCTAACTGTAAGTAATGTGATTCTAAAACTGCTCAAGAGATGTGATCTGGATGTTTTTTTTAGGTGCATCAGGGTTTATTATGCCACAAAGCAAGAAGCCTGGGGTAAAGCACCCACATGTTTAATTCAGGGGATCGAAGCTGAACACATTAATGACACAGGACAGCTAGCCTGCAAGTTACTTCATACTCAGAGCGTCAGTGACCATGATGAACTCCCCCTTTTCAAGATGGCTATGACAAACGTTTCTATGCAGACTAAATAGTGCCTAAAGAGGAAGTGGTGACTTCAAGCCGCATGTGAGTCTTTCATCAGGGCCACAGTGAGTCCTTCTCCAGAAATATCCTCTTTATAACTAGCAGTTGCTCCACAAAAAACTTCTCATTGGTCAACAGTGGATCACACGACTATGCCTACCCCAATCCCTGCAAATGGAAAAAGAATTCGACAATTGGTTTTGATGTCTATTTCTTTTTCTTTTCTTTTTTTTTTTTGAGTGCCTACAGCTTGTTTTTTTATTTTTGTTTTTTTTAGTTACATTTTTTTATTTTTTATATTAATCACAGGTTTTTACTTTGTATCCCAGCCGTAGCCCCCTCCTTCATTCCCTCCCAATCCCACCCTCCCTCCCTCCTCTTCTCCCTGATGTCTATTTCTCAACCTCACCTGCGTCCTAACTTCACCTTGAAGTCTTGGAAAGAAAATTACAATGCTTGGCAACAGTGTGTCTCCAATATTCCTTAGCTGTTCTAAATGTATCCCCAAAGTGAATGCTGCTGTATCAGCCTAATTAAGTTTCACCTCTGCCTGCACCCTAGTGAGAGGTGCTTTCTATGCCAGAGAACAAGCAAACAGAGGAACAAACTGAGGCTTTGACGCTGAGCAAGCAGACCCGGGTCTGCAGCTACAGCTGTCGGGGAAACTGAGGCAATACGATCTCTTGAGCTCAAGAGTTCCAGAAGTTCCAGACCAACTTAAGCAAACAGCAGGACTCCATTACAAAACAAATCTAAAGCAAAACAAGACAAAAATCTAGCTGGTAGGGATAGGGCTAGGACCTAACTGTTCAGATTGTTATGTTGGAAGCACTTTGACATATTTCAGTTCCCAAGATTTCTCTGACAGTGCCCTCCTTCTCGGGGGGAAAAAAAAATCCAAGATGTGTTCTACCTCTATTCCACAATAGCTTTATCATGGTATACAGAAGGCTCCTACTTGTTTACTTGGTGTTTTGCCATTCTGAAATGTGCCATCCTGGAAGCCAGGAGGAGTGCATATACTCAGCTTAGTGTGTGTAGCCTCTAGTACTCAGGAGGCTCAATCAACATTTATTGCAGGAATGCATGAAAGACCAGGTGAATTGATAGGAAATGCTTATTATTGAGCATTTACCCAACATTTATATGCCAGGCATTAAACAAAGCCATGGACACTGAATACTTTATTTACTCCTTATAAAGTAGGAGCCACTTTTTGGCCTAAGTCTAACAAAACCATCTCACAGAGACTAATTGCTTGCCAATATCACACACCAGAAAGTGGCTATCATGGCACTGAGTTTCACAGAGAATAAATTTACAGAGTTCACTGAATTCTTTATCTTTTTCACCCAAGTGAGCAAAGGGTAGGCCATTTATGTAAGAGATGAAGACCTCTCCAGTGGATCTTAACCCAAAAGAGAGCTGCAAGAACTGCTGCCATTATCATAATCTGTCTCGTGTCTCTCTGTCTCTGTCACACACACACAGATCGTCTTATTTCCATCTTTATGCCCTCCTCTATAAAATCGAAGAATATCTCTATAGCTATATATCACACACAACATATGTGATATAATATAATATATCTGATAATATATGTGATATATAGCTATAGAGATATTCTTCGATTTTATAGAGGAGGGCATAAGGATGGAAATAAATAAGAAAAAAAAAAAAAAGAACCCACCTCCCCCTGAAAGTTAAAAGCATGGAGTGGAACGTCACGTTCATGAAAAAGAAAAACCAAAATACTTCAGCTATTTTGATGAACTGGATGAAACACCCCCAACCACCAGCTTCAAGCAGCTTACCATCTTAATGGGGGCGTCTTGCAAATGAACAACCCTGTCTACAGCAGAGCAGTAAATGCAAGAAAAAGATTAAGTAGAGTTCTAGGAGGAAACACAGGAGGGGTACATGATTCCTCTGGGGGAAGCCTGCGAGATTTTTCTCTTGAAAGTGCCCAAGTGGAGATGTGAAAGATGTGTATCATGTGAGAGGTGTGGTCGAAGGGTGGCCGGAGGCAAATTTCTGGAAGCAAGAACAGAGCAGTGTGGGAAAACTGGCAGTTCACTAAAGCGGCAGGGATTAACCTCGTTGCTGCTACACTCCACTGTCCTGCCAGGTCTTAATCTACTAATGACACCGCGCAGTAGCTTTGCACTCAAGAAGAAACCGGCCAGCACTGCCCTCTCTGTCGCTAAAGGTCTGCCCTTCAAATCTCCCATTTTCTGGCCACTCATTCAGGAAGTATTCACTGAACACCCCCTCTGTGCAGGTATCCTGTTAACAGCAACCTCAGTGGTGCTTCCACTCTTCAGGAGGTTTTGAGCTATTAAAGACAGATCGTGTGGGAGCAATTCAGGAGTGCTGAAAGCTAACACATAAGATGTTAACGACTCTTTAAAGACCCATCTGCCTTGCTGCCCACTGTGAACTTGGGGCCTCCAGACGTGCTAGTCTTCTTGGAAGGATGACCAAGTATTCTATTTACTGCCCGGAATATCTCCTCCCCTAGCCCAAGGATACTGCCCTTCTCTGGCCAGCTCCAACCCCACGTCCTTCTCGAGTGACCATACTCATCAGCGCTCAGCTCCACCGAGGGGACTGACGCGTGCGCTCGGCAAGGCAGCTCCTGGTATCAAACAGTACCCAGCCTCCCCCGCCACCTGGTGCCTGGTGACTACTCTAGAGCAGCCCTCTCTCTATGAGACTACAGGAAAGGGCGCGCCTGGACTAACGGCCCGGCGCACACGTGGGCGCTGCTTGGAAACCGCGGGAACCCTATCCCATTCGGATGAGAGGGGACATTCTGCAAGAAGACTTTGGTCAGGGGATTTTGCTCCCCGCCCGCACCCCTCCAGGAACCCCAGAGAGGACAGGCGATGATAAGCCCTGGCGGGAGGGCGCTCTTCCTTTGCCACTGCTGAGGTCTCCACAGAGGCGCGGAGTGCCCGGAGGAGGGGCCGAGGGCGGGGCAGTCGTAGCCTCCGCCACTCCCGGCACCCCCAGTGGCAGAACACCGCCTTCCTGGTCGACCTTGCCTACTTCGAGTACTCTACCCGCCCAGGAACCTCGCCTTCCGCCACTATGAGCAAATGAGAACGAGCAAGGGAATGAAATTTCAATTCCACTCTGGGGAGAAAGTGCTGTGCTTCGAACCTGACCCCACCAAGACCAGAGTGCTATACGAAGCTAAGGTGCCACCGCGGGGGGGACAGGGAGGAGGCGCCGGTCTGGGTCCCCTGGACGGGAGGCAAAGGATCCATCAGAGGACTAGTAGCTCGGAACCCTGGACAGCCACCAGGGTGCGCCTCTGCCTGCGCACAGCGGCCCGGGGCAGCAGGGGACGCTGGCGAGATGCGCTCCGCGTGCTAGTGGCCTAACTAGGAAGAATCTGGGATGTTTCGGCTTCTGCTTCTGCTTCTGCTTCCGCTTCCGCTTTGTTGCGTCAATTATGCGCAGTTGCTAGGCTCGGAATGTCGGTTTGAGCACAGCGCGCCAATCCGCGTGTCCGGTGTAGGAGGACTGCCGTTTTAGGCTTCTGCTTTTGCGATAAGCCTCTCCTTGGTTCCACACCTTTCAGCGCCACATGGGCCACATAGCGGACACCTTGACCAATTTTCTGATCCACATTATCAACCTTGTCTATAGTTTTTGCCAGCTTTCAGCTGGCGACGTCATAGTCCTGGAATCCCAGCAGAGTTTAGAATCAGACATTCAAGTGTCATACTGAGGGAAGGGAGGGACTCAAGATTGCTCTAACGTTTTGACTTTTGCAGTTTCTAAAGGATTTGTAGGAGACAGATGGAGCTAGGGAATAATCAAGTCTCACTTGTATCTAGCTCAGTCTGCCGGGGCTGGACTGTATTTGCAGTTGTCAGTTTTTAAGTGGAGGGCAGAAGAGGGCATTTACGTGCTCCAGAGCCCTGGGAGGGTGAAAATCAGCGCCCTGGGGGTCGAAGCGAGCGTCAGTATTTCCAGCCACCAAGGCAAAGTCCTTAGTGGTGGAGACAACTTGGAACAGGCCCCCAGGTACGTCTTTAGCGATGTTTAAGAGGTGCTGTCTGGTTGAACACCCCAAGGTCTGGAGTGTGTTATGTTTCTTTGCTCCCTCTTGCAACCGTTAACTCTGTTTAGGTTCTTTTGCTATCCCTTCAGCTTGCTATGTGGATAGGGGAAGGAAGGATATGCAGGAATGCAGAACTATTAAGGGCAGGGTTGTGGAAGTCTTTGGCTAGTTCCGCAGGACACTGGACAAGCCATAGCCCAGGTGACTACAACTCCCAGAGGTCGTAGAGCTGCTCTTTCTAGGCCGGCTCCTCGATAATGACAAATCCACCGACCAATGGCTTCAGAAGCGTCACCGGTCTCAAACTCGAGAGACCAATCCTGATTTGCTTGGACGGATGTTTCCTATTTTGAGGCAACCACTCGAGCAAAAGGGAAAAAGATATTTAAGAATGTTACAACCCAGCTCTCGATCTAAAAAAGGGAACGAATGTTTTCTTTTCCTTTAAGAAGGGACTATGTTCTAGTTTTCTTGTTTTTTTGTTTTGACCTAACTTAAAATAGTTTTCGGTTTGCTGTGCCCCTTGTGAACAGTATTTCCTGGTTTCAGATTGTCGATGTTATTACTGGGAAAGACGAAAAGGGCAGAACGATTCCAGAATATCTGATACATTTTAATGGTCGGAACAGAAGGTGAGTGAACTTGTTGCAATAAGACTAAATATTAATCACCTTTGTAGCAGAATCATTTTGTAACTTTGAGTTTTAGAAACACTTGTAGAAAAGTTTAATCTCCCGCTTGTGCTTTGTTTGTAAAGCTTGCCTATTCTGAAGCTTGATTACTTTAAAGTCTGTTGTGTTTGGATTTACTTATGAGTACTCACTGAAAATCGTGGTTGCTGTAACTGAGGTCCCTTTGTGCTTTAGTGGTCCTCTTGGTGATTTTGAAGTGTATAGCTTTCTAAAATGTCGGCAACTCTGCGGCACTTCTTCATGATGCTTTTTAGCATTAGTTTTATTTGTTTCATAATACTGACTTTTACATCCTCTCTTTGTTTGTTTGTTTCAACCAGTTGGGATAGATGGACAGCCGAAGATCATGTGCTACATGATACAGATGAAAATAGGAGATTACAGTGTAAATTGCTCAAAAAAGCAGTAGCTCGCCTGTAAGGACACAAAAACTTTGATGGAAGTGTTATTCAGTATGTTTTATTCTTTTTTTACTCTTTTGGAATTTTATGATATATAAGTAGTAAAGTGACAGACTTCAGTAATCTTACGTATTTAAAGTAAATGAGGAGTTTCTATAATATTCTAAAGAATCACAGACATATTCAGAATGATCATTGTCTACTTAGTAGTGGGGATTATATTATCATTTAATGTTTACTCTATATATTTAAGAATTATTGTTTATTATGTCTTCCGTGGATCCCAACTTCCAGTCTGAAGTTTAACTTTCATTTATTTATTATTTTAAGGAGAGGTACAGGAAGAAAGAAGTGGCATTGTAGATTGCCTGGTGTCGACTCTGTCTTAAAAGGTATGCCAGTTAAAGAAAACACTCAAAATGATGAGAACTGTGAGCGTCTTGACTTTATCTTCCTCAAATGAAACCATATTCATGTAGTCTTTTTATATCTATGGATCAAGAGAAAAGGTCACTGAAATTATAAACAGAGAACTAGTGCAAACTCATAATGTACAGATGTTCTCCAGTTTAAGAATTTGTTGACTTTATGATGGTATGAAAATATACTATTTTCTTGTTCTACTTTCAGTACAATATGCACTAAAACACATGAGATATTTAACAATCCCATAAGGTAAGCTTTGTTTTGATGAGTTTACCCAATTGTCAGCTAATCTAAGTGTTCTGAATATATTTAAAGTAGTCAGCTATGATATTCAGTAAGCTAGGTATATTTTCTTCAATCTAGATCTAACTCCATCATAAATGATGGAGCATCTTTATAGTATACACTTGGTTTGTTTTAGACAATTAAGGTAGCAGTCAGTATGATCAGTCAGCATGTGGGTACAAGACTATCAGAGTCTTACCATCCATCAGAGTCTTACTATCTCAGCCAGCGAGCCTGCACAGATCTTTTCTCACAGTCCATTTTCTTCTTCATACATCCAGGGACTTGCCACCACTTATGAATCCATCAGTGAACCATAGGATCCTAGCTGGTGAAACACTTTCATATCATTAGCTCATGTGATTTTTGTATTGATTGAAATTAGAGTTATGTTTATCAAAATAAATTTCTGTTCTGAAAGGTACAGTATTTGTGTTTAGGATTTAAAATGTATGCAGAACTATAAACCATCCTTTTTAGTCAAGTACATGTGCCAACTAAAATTTTGTAAATGTAAGGATTGTCAAAGTGTATAATATGAGTTTGCCTGATGTTTTTGTTTTTTGTAGCAATAAGCAGTACCTATCATGACAGCTGTGGAGAAAAGAATGAAGAAATAAAAGAACAACATCAACGTCGTATTAAAATAAAGACTAAAGCGGTACAAAAAAGTTTTTATTGTAGAAACTTTTGTATATATGGTAATGGCAAACTTTTCAGGTTAAGGATTCTTTTTAAAAGATAAATCTCTCAGACCAATATTATAAATTTTCCTAACAGTTCAAGAAAAGATAACTTTTGTTTATAGTCATTATATGGGTATCGTTGACTCTTTATACCTACAGAGTATTTCTAGAAGTTATATATCTCTTTTTTTTAAAGTAATATTGTGAACTATGTTTTATAATGGTTAATTTTTAATAGTGTGTAACAGAAATTGGCATGTGCATGCCTCCAAGTTGGACATAAACCCCAATGTTAATCATAAATGAAAAAGAAACAAAAATGAATTTGTAGTGTAGTTAATGCTGTGAAAAACTCTTAGGCATGTGACATAGTATCTTTATGACTATCTTTAATTGGAGACACATGGTATGATGTGAGTGTTGTGAATAAACTAAGTTGGTTGCATAGCAGACTTTTATGTGGCAGCCTCTCTCAATGTTATCAATAATTAAAAATGGAATTGTGATATTACAGGGAAAAAAAGTATTGTCGCTGTGCTGAAGGAAGGACATGGATGAAAGAACAATAACCATAGATATCCCTGAGGTTCTCAAGAAGCAGCTTGAGGATGACTGTTACTATATCAACAGGAGGAAACGGGTATGCAAGAAGAATGGATTGTTCAGGATGCTTTTTTTTTGGCTGAACTTTGTAGTCACAGTGTCAAATGCCAGGCAGCATGGAGGCATGGTAGTTTTATTTCCAGTTTTGTACTGGGTCTAGTTCTAATAGGACTAATAGGACTATTAGTAGTGCTTGGTTCTTGTTTAACCTAAGACTTGTATACCTTCTGCTGTTCATTTGAGCCCTTCAGGGTGTTTTCCAGAATCCTAATACCTGGACTTCTACTAAGATTAAGATCTTTAAGCCAGGAATGATGGCTCATGTCTTTAATCCCAGCACTTAGGAGGCAGAGGCTCTGTGAGTCCAAGGCCATCCTCCTCTACATAGAGAGTTCCAGGTCAGCCAGTGCTATACAGAAAATCCCTGTCTCAAAAAGTGAGTTGAAAGGACAGGTGAGGATTTAATTGGTGTGGTAGGGCTTTCTCTCTTAAGTATACTTTGAGAAACTTTTTCAGTTTTTTGAATAGAACACTAAGACTAAAGATCACTGTTTCTATGTATTCAGAACAGTAAGATTATAGTAGTGTGAGAGAATGAAGGATAGCATGATCTGTGGAAAGATGACTCATCAAAGAGCTTCAAGACATAATTATTTAAAAAGCTCCTGAGCAGAATTGATGGAGTTAAACAGATAGAACACATAGCTATTCCTACTTGGAATATATGTCTGATAATAATGGGATGTGTTTTTCTTAACAGTTAGTGAAACTTCCATGCCAGACCAACATCATAACAATTTTGGAATCCTATGTGAAGCATTTTGCTATTAATGCAGCCTTTGCAGCCAATGAGAGACCTCGTCACCATCATGCCATGATGCATACGCACATGAATGTGCACTATGTCCCTGCTGAAAAGAAGTGAGTAACTAGGGTGTTTAGTCTTTGGCTTCTGTCTTTGGGTTTTGGTTGTACTGTTTATTGTTAGCTTTTTTTGTCATACTGGGGATTGAACTTAGCCCTCACACATGCAAAGCAAGTGGTCTTCCAGTCAACTATACCTTCAACTTTTCCTTTGTATATTACAGTTTAGCGCTATGGATCTTTTACTCTGCTCTGTTAAATTTACCCCTTACTTCATAGCTGATTTGCAGATTAGTCATTCATTTATCAGTCTAATATGAAACTATTGTGACTTTTGAGAAGTATTCGATAATTGCACATGATACCTGGCTTGACTGTACATTACCTTGTGGCCAAGACCAATATTTTCAGGAATACCACTTTAGAAAGCAGATGGCCAATGAGAAATGGGTCAAAGGTTGCTAATGACTGATCTTTTTTAATTAATTAATGTATATGTGTGAGTGCGTGTGTGCCATGGCATACATTGAAGGTCAAAGGACAAAGTCTGGTGTGAGTCCTGACCTTCCACCTTGTTTGAAACAATCTCTGGTGCTATTCACTGCTAGGTACACCACCATGGCTAGCCTTTGAATTTCTAGAAATTTGTCTGTCTCTGTATCTTGTCTCCCCACAGGAATTCTGGAGTTGCATATTTGTACGCTACTGCATCTAGCTTTTATGTGGATTTTGGGCATCCAAATTCAAGTTGACAGACTTGTACAGCAAGTGCTTTTACCCACTGACCCACCTCCCTAGACACAAATAATTCTTTATTCTAGTCAGAGTAGAGTTTTTGGAATCCTGCTATACCCTCATGACTTGACAGGACCAGTGTCAGGGAGGCAGAATGTTATAGTTGAATCAGGAGCAAAGAGCACTGGCTTCTGGGATGTCTCATATTGTATTGAACCCATTCATTTGTGTTATATGGATATATTTAAATTATTAGCATACTGCCTGCAGTTTATATTAGGATCTATATTTCCTTATTTCTTTATTGGCATCTGTACATTGTGTTTATTTTTTTTACATGTCAGTGAATATATGTTTTAAAAGTCTGTCTTCAGCTCAGTAGCACACACCTTTAATCCCAGTACTCAGAAGGTAGAGGCAGGTCTTGGTTAGTTTGAGGCCATCTTCATCTACATAGAGAGTTGTATGCCAGCTAGGGCTATATAGTGAGACCTTGTCTATTAATAAATAAATGAATGAATATACGAAATAAACGAATGAATGAATGAATGAATGAATAAATGAATGAATATAAAGATAATTTTACCCTTTTTAAAATGTATACCTTCATTGTAAAATTTGGGAAATACTAGTGACTTTACTGGATCTCTAGTCTCTAATCTTTTCTTTCTCAATCTTCCTAGTGTTGATCTTTGTAAGGAGATGGTGGATGGATTACGAATTACTTTTGATTATACTCTTCCCTTGGTTTTGCTCTATCCGTATGAGCAAGCTCAATATAAAAAGGTGACATCGTCTAAATTTTTTCTTCCAATTAAGGAAAGTTCCACCACAACTAATAGGTGAGTTAGACAATGTGGAAGTCCACCTTCCCCCTCAGTTGTCAGCACTGATATGACTAACCTCATTTTGGAAGTATTTGATCTGTTGATACGGTTGCCTGGATGTTTTGAGGAATGGAAACATTGTAGGGTATCCTTATTGGTGCCTTTACCCCCGCCCCCAGAGTAAGCTAGATGATCATTCACATTCTCATGGTTGTGTTTTCCAAGTCAACATTCCAGGATAGCCAGACATGATGACATGTGCCTATCATCCTAGCATCCAAGAAGCTGAGGAAGGGGAACTGCTATGAGTTTGAGGACAGATGCTCTCTGGAGGGAGTTGTAGGTTAGCCAGGAGTACATAACAAAAGAAGGACAAACAAAAGTTTCCCGAGTAGATAGTACTTTTTCAATGTATTATGAGCAGCTGTCCCATCATTCAGGAAGTCAGTGAGGAGGTAAAGGCAACATGGGCCAGAAAGATAGAAAGTGGAGGTACAACTGACATCTTTCACTTGATGTTATGTCATTTGGGTCAGCTTCTTCTGAGCCTCTTGCCTTTATATCTGGTTTGGAATGAATGCCTGTCTCCCTGGTGGATAGTAATTCATGATCTTATTCACAATGGCTCAACAACCTTTGGACCTCAGTATTGGTTATTTCCCTACTTTTCTTTTATTACTGCTTTTCTTCCTTCTGTGCCTAAGTATTCTTTGTTCATTGTGCTAGAGCAAGGATGGGTCCATCTTCACTTAAAGCCTTTTCCCTAATTTTTCTAAGGCACTCTGCCATGTCCTCTCTCTTCTTTCCCTGAATGTTGTGCAGGAGACTAAAAACCAGTTCTTTTCAAGTCTAGCTTCTTAAATGAATGAGTTTAACTTTCCTAGTTATAGGAAAGTGGGCTTCATACAGGTAACCATACCACTGAAGAAGAGCCTTCTCTTCCTGCCAGGCATTAGCCATTTAAGTATTCTCATGAAGGAGAGGTACCCTGTATGTCTTAGGAACCCTATCACTTTTTACACGGGGATTTTAGTGATTATGAGGATCTCATGTGGGTCATCACAGCTGCTCTGATTCCAGGATGGCAATGGTCATATCATGCTCAGAGGACTGAGCTTTCTACCACTAAGAGAAACATCCCTCTATGTTAAACCAGTATCTATCTACTCTTGTCTACCACTCTTGTGCTAGACTCTACCTCCTTTGTTAAAAATAACTTCTAATTATCATTTCCTGTGCTCTGTGTTAGCTGCCTTTCTTCTCCCTCTCTTTATTATGGTTCCTGACTCATTCTCTGCCTCTCCACCATCTTCTTTTATTAATTAATTTATTCACTTTACATCCTAACCTTAGCCCCTCCCTCCTCTCCTTCCAGTCCTAACCTCTTTCCCTTTTCCCCCACCCTAGATTGTCAAGTCACAGCAGGACTGAGCTTGTCCTTTTCCCCTGAAGAATGGTGAGGCAGTTCCTCCAGTGGGGAGTGACCAAAAAAGCAAGCAACAGAGTCCATGTCAAAGTCAGCCCTCATTCCCTTTACTTGGGAACCCACATGAATCCTAAGCTTCCCACTGACTACATCTATGTAGGGGCCCTATGTCCAGTCTATACATGGTCCTTGGTTGGTGATTTCGTCTCCACAGGCCCCTCTGGGGTCAGGTTAGTAGGCTCTGTTGGTCTTCTTGTGGAACTCCCATCACCTCAGGTCCTTCTATCCTTCTCCCCACTTTTCCACAGAACTTCCTATGCTTTACCAAATATTTGGTTGTGAATCTCCACATCTGTTTTTTCCACCATCTCTTTTGGTAGCTTCTCTCTCCTCTTTTTCACATGTCACTTTTGACCCTGGCAAGAGGCCAGCAAAACTCACTAGGGATGTGTGTTGAAGTCCCCATGAATGGCTTACATCACACCTGATGATTCCCAAAGATATACTCGTGCCATTTTCAAGTCCTGGCAGATTTTATATTTCAAGGCATTGTTTGGTGGTCTTAGTACCTAGACCAGAGTTTCTCTTTCCTGAGGCCTGTCTTTTGTGACATTGGACAATTAGAAATATGTCTGGTCTCTGTCCATTAGGCAACAGTATATCTTCCTTCAGTTGTGACAACCCCTGAGCAGTGTTATCACCAAATACTAGTAACTGTTTTCTGGGCTAGGACTAAATTCTACCCCTAACCCTGGAACCCTTGTTCTGAAACATATAGAAGAGGATATTCCAGTCTCTAATAACAGCATGCTCTCCTGAGCTGTGGTGACCTCATCTATTTAGGAACTGTTTAAGGAAATGTGTGTTTGAATATACTTCGAGATACCTATGTGTCACCCCCTCCCTCCCAAGCTGGTTGGTGAACCTGCCTTGTAGAAGCTCTCAAATCATTACAAGCTGCAGTGACACTCTCCTTCTTGCCCAGGAGCCAGGAGGAGCTGTCTCCTAGCCCACCTTTGCTGAATCCATCTACACCACAGTCCACAGAGAGTCAACCACAAGCTGGTGAACCGGCCACCCCCAAGAGACGCAAAGCTGAGCCAGAAGCACTGCAGTCTCTGAGGCGGTCCACACGCCACAGCGCCAACTGTGACAGGATGTCTGAGAGCAGCTCTTCACCTCAGCCAAAGCGCCGGCAGCAAGACACATCTGCCAGCATGCCAAAGCTGTTTCTGCACTTGGAAAAGAGTGAGTTTGCTCTAAGAGCCCCAGGCCATGGAAAGCCACTTTTTCCCTTTGTTCTTAAAGTTTGTGTTATTCCTGAGACCTCAATCATATGCTACTTCATTTGAAGAAGAGGGACACATCCATCAAAAGATGGAGAAGCAACTGCCTTGGGGAGCTCAGGGAGGACTAGGGAGGCAAGACTGGGCTCTGTGTTTAAATCTGCTTTCTGCCTGAGTGAGGTGACCCAGAAGCAGAAAGACACACATGGTATATACTCATTTAAAACTGGATATTAGTCATACAGTATAGGATATACATACTGAAATCTATACTGCTAAAGAAGCTAAGCAAGAAGGAGGATCCTAGGGAAGTTGATCAGTCCTCACTCAGAAAGCAAATGGGATAGACATTGGGAGAGGGAGAAAACAGTGAACAGGATAGTAGCCTACCACAGAAGGCCTCTGAAAGACTCTACCCAGCAGGGTATCAAAGCAGATGCTGAGACACATAGCCAAACTTTGGCCAGAGTGCAGGGAATCTTATGAAAGAATGGGGAGATAGAAAGATCTGGAGGGGACAGGAGCTCCACAAGGAGAGCAACAGAACCAAAAAAAAAAAAAAGTCTAGGCCCAGGGGTCTTTGCAAAGATTGATACTCCAACCAAAGACCATATGTGGAGATAACCTAGACCCCTTGCTCAGAGTACCCTTTTGTAGCTCAACATCCAAGTGGGTTCCCTAGTAAGGGGAGTAGCGGCTGTCTCTGACATGAATTCAGTGCTAGCCCTTTGATCACCCCCTCCCCCGGGAGTTGTATCCTTGCCAGGCCACAGAGGAATATAATGCAACCAGTCCTGATGAGACCTGATAGGCTAGGGTCAGATAGAAAGGGAGGATGACCTCCCCTATCAGTGGACTGAGGGAGTGGCATGGGAGGAGAAGAGGGATGAAGGGTGGGATTGAGAGGGGATAAAGGGGGCTACAGCTGGGATATAAAGTGAATAAATTGTAATAATAATAATAATTATAATAAAAGCTGCTTTGTTACCCTCCCTCTCTGCTACTTCTTGTGAGCTGTTGGGGTTATTGGTATCCCATGTTTCATACACATATTCAAAATGAACAGTGCTAGTAAATTTTTAACATTTCTACTGCTGTTTTCAAAACTTACCTTTAAGACATCTGTTTGAATAAAATGTTCAAATCAGATGCTGGTTTTAATGGAGTTGTAGAGATACAGTCCGTATGCTGTAAACTTCCTTCTTCATAGTAACTTTTATATGGTTAGAATTGTGTGGTCACCTCCACAATCAGGTCATGTATCTTCATCACAGAACAAAAGAAGTCAGTCCTTTATGCATCAACAGTCTCTCATCTGCCTTTCCCCACCTCCCCTGGAAACTACCAATCTACTTGGCACTTTAGATTTGCCTGTTTGGGACATTTTATATGCATGAAATAATGTAACATTCATGTACACCATTAATAATATGATGGAAAGCTAGAGGCATTGCCACACTCCTATAATCTCAGCACTCTTGGAGACTGAGATAGGCAGATCGTTGTGAGTTTGGGGCTAGCCTGGTCTACAAAGTGAGTACCGGACAACCAAGGCTACACAGAAAAACCCTTTCTCAAATAAAACAAACAAACATAAAAAAAAAAAAACAAGTTGAAAGTATGAAAACTGGGAAGGTTCAATTAGGCAATTAACCTTTTTAAAAAGAAGTTCTAATACATGAAGAAATGATTCTCACCCAACCCCCTGCTTTGTTTTCTTGACATTATTTATTTAGGAAAATCACATATAAAGTTAACCACTTTTTAAAGATTTGTTTTTATGTGCATAGTTGTTTTGCCCACAGATATATTTGTGCACAATGGGGCTGCCTGGTGCCCTCAGAGGCCAAAAGAAGCTATCAGATCCCTTGGAACTAGAATTATAAAGAGTTGTGTTCTGCCATGTGGATGCTGGGAATTGAAGGGAACCTTGTGCTTTTAACCTCTGAGCTGTCTTCCCAGTCCAAGTTAATCATTTTAAAGTTACTAATTTAGTGTTCCTACTTTTTAAATTTGTTTAGCTGTAATCCACACACCATAGAGTTTTTCCATTTAACGTGTCCAGTCCAGTAACATTTAAAGGATTAATATAGTTGTGTAACTATCCTACAGTCATTTCCAAAACATGGTCAGTGCCCCCACCCAAGAAATCCCATATTCATTAGCAATCATCACCCTCACTTTAGAGCCATGAAACATCTTTGTGTCTTTAGATTTACCTATTTTGCATAACATAGGAATGGAATCACAGTATGTGGCTCTGTGATGGATCCCTTCAGCTTAACATAACCTTTTCAAAGTGGACTAAGGTTGTAACATGTATCAGTACCATTCTAAAAATAAGAGTCCAGACTTTATCTTTTATAAATGAAGGTCATATTGTTAAAGATTTGTAGCTTTTTAGAGGTGACTTAGATTTGTGGTCTGGTGTTTGTCAGAGTCCTGACAGTGTCTATTTCGGTCACTCTGTAACTTTATGGGTAAATAATTGCAACTTTCTCATTGACAGAAACACCTGTGCATAGCAGATCGTCTTCCCCTATTCCTCTGACTCCAAGTAAGGAAGGGAGTGCTGTATTTGCTGGCTTTGAAGGGAGAAGAACCAACGAAATAAATGAGGTAGAGTGTTTGATGGTCAACTTCAAGGGTTCTTTTACCTTTTGTAGTTGCTTAAACTCCCGAGTCGTTCAAGTATCATGTTGCTTTTCAAGAAATAGCAGCAAAAAGATAGAGAAGATTCTGCTTAATAGTGTATTCCTGGTTTCAAATCTGAGAAAACTTCCAGGACCCCAGTTTTACTGTTATAATGACCTTTTTCTTCTAAAGATCATTCAGTTCTTGAAATACTTGTGTTTGCATTTTGTACAACATATCAGTACTTTTTTTTCTTAAGAGCCCAACAGTACAAAGTATAGGTTTTGTGGGCCACGTGATGCCTATTAAGACTAATCAACTGCAAAGTAGTGGGAAACAGTATGCAAATGAGATAGATGTGGTGTATTTTAATCAACAATTACTGTGAATACTAAAATGGGAACAGTAAATGATATGCACAAGCTAAGAATAGTCTTTAGCTTTAAATCATTTAAAGGTGGCCTGGACCATCAGGTCATTCTTTAGCGATGGGGTCCTAAGAGAGAGCACCAGGAGATTAAAAGATAAAGAACATAGAATATACAGAAAATAAAAAAGTTTGGGATTGGGAAGTCTTTCACTGGCTATTTGTTATGCCAAAACAAGTTTATTAAGAAATACAACGGGATGAACGGTGTTAGAAAGTGTCTTTAATGGCAGTACTTGGGAGGCAGAGGCATGCACATCTCTATGAGTTCCAGACCAGACTGGTATACAGAGCGGGTTTCTGGATAGCCAGGGCTACAAAGAGAAAGCCTGCCTTGATTAAAAAAAAATAAAATGGGACAGAGTCAGCTGAAAACTATCTTATGATGGACTAAGCAGGAAGGTAATCAAACAGTGTTGCACAAAGGGACAAGGAAAACACAGGGTTTGTCAAGCATATTATAGACCAAACACATAGTGGCTCTGAGACAATCCATATAATTCCCACAGTGGAAAGAGTTGGGTTCTCAGGATCTGAACCCATTCCTTGTTTATTTTTATTGTTTATTTTTTTACAATTAACTCATTATATATCCTGATTGTAGCCCCCTCCCTCAACTCCTCCCAGTCCTACCCCCTCTCATTCCCCTATCTCCCTCCCCTGCTGCACTAAAAGGGAGAGACCTCCTCCCCTGCTATCTAACCCTAGCTTATCAAGTCTCATCAGGACTTCCTGGATCCTCTTCCTCTGGGGCCTAGCAAGGCTGCTCTGCCAGGGGGGAAGTTACCAAAGAATAGGCAACTGAGTTCATGGCAGCGGCTCCTCTTATTTGGGTACCCACATGGAGATTGAGTGAGCTTCCTATGGGCTACATTCAAGCAAGGCACCTAGGTCTTTATGCATGGTCCTTGGTTGCATCAGTCTTTGCAGGACCCCCTGAGCTCAGAGTTTTTACCTTTGCTGGTCTCTTTTTGGAGCTCCTGTCCCCTCTGTTTCCTTCTATTCCCCCTTTGGCCATAAGACTCCCTGCACTCTGCCCAAAGTTAGGCTGTGAGTCTCAGTATCTGCTTTTATCTGCTGTTGGGTGGAGTCTTTCAGAAGACTCTATAGTAGGTTCCCATCCTGTTCCCTCTTTTCTACACTTCTGATGTCTATCCTGTTTGCCATTCTGAATGAGATTTAAGCATCCTCTCTAGGGTCCTCCATTTGGTTTAGCTTCTTTAGGTCTGTAGATTTTAGTACAGCTATCCTATATTGTACAGCTAATATCCTTTTATAAATACCATGCATGTCTTTCTGCTTCTGTAACACCTCACTCAGGATGATCATTTCTAGTTCCCACCATTTGCCTGAAATTTTCATAATTTCCTTGTTTTTAATTGTTGAGTAGTATTCCATTGTGTAAAGGTGTCACAAATTCTGTATGTGTTCCTCCATTGAGGGACATCTCGATTGTTTCCAGATTCTGGCTCTTACAAATAAAGCTCCTCAACAAGGACATTTGCTCAAGTATGTTCATAGCGGCCATTCCTTGTTTTAGAGGACTAACTGTGTTCCTTTTCCATACACCAAGGCCTCAGGAAAAAGCTTTCAGTTGAGTAGTCCTTGACAAGAAGCATAAGCATAGTTTGGGACGGTATAGAAATAAGCGTCAAACTATTGCAGGAGATGTGAGCTGCAGGCTTTAGTTGCTGACCTATTTTTAACATCCATCTCCTCCTTCTCCACAAACAGTAACCCTAATAGCCATCTCTCTGAAAGCATGCTGAATGCCAGCATTGGACTAGATTTTAAGCCCATTAACATGGAATGCCTTGTGACTACAGGCTTTATATTTATGGAAAATGGCATTTCTTCAAAAAAGGGGGGGGGATTTCAAACAGTCAGGCAAAGACTGCTACCACTCAGTTCAGTGCTGCCATCTAGTGGCTAATGTTAGATCAGTATGCTTTGTGAAAACAATGGAGTTCAGCATGCTCTTAGGTCTAAAGAATCCATAGTGACTTTAAGGACCTTTACAAAATTCTTCTACGGTGGGTTTTATCCAGGGCTATTTAGCCAAATCGCTCTTGTCCCTTTCTCATAGTATCAGTTGCTGATTTTATTAGGAAAGGTCTGCATGATCACTTTGCTGGTTAAGATGCACAGGTGGTTCTCATGGAGAATCTCTGTACTAATTACAAATTGCCTCTGAGCAACACTCAGTGCTGAAGCAGTTCTAAGTTTCCCCTGTGGGCTCATGGTTAGATGACAAGTTAGTGTGAAAATGCTAGAACTGGCTGCCAAGGATGAGATGGGGAATCTACATCAAAACTTCAGGAGGTGAAGTGAAACTGGGGCCATCCTTCTGGAGTCCCACAATACCTGTGAACTTCTAGTTTCTTTTATTCAGGATGACTGTGCCAGCATTTCTGATGTTTTGTGGCTGAGCACCCTTCTGCTTTTTTCTTTTTTCTCATATAGGATTTTCTGCAACATTCCTTCTTCCAGGTTCATAGATTTGACACATCCCCATAAGGAAAGTAGACTAGGCTCTGGTTTGCTGGTTGACTAAGGTATTCCTAGGGAAATTCATTAGAGAGTTCTGAAAGAAAGCTCTTACTTTATCCAAATTTCCAAGCCCATCTATAGTTCTGAAACCAGAGTAAAGGCAAAGAAAGCAATTACAAGGTTGGAATTCTGAGATGATTCAAATTCGTTTCCATAATGGCTGAAAATAGCAAGGAATTAGGGGCTCTTGATACTCTCTAATATTTTCTGTTTGAGGGGGAAAGGGCCAAACGGCTATGGTAGTGTAAATGTGAAATGCCCCCACAGGCTCATGTATTTGAACACTAGCTCCCTAGCTGGGGGTGCTGTTGGGGAAGATTGTGGAACCTTTAGGAGGTGGAGCTTGCTGGAAGAAGTTGGTCACTGGAGCTGAGCCTTCAGTTTTTATAGGCTGGCCAGAAGTCCTGCCCATTCTCGGCTTTCTGACTTGATGCAAAGTGAGCAGCCAGTTTCCTGATGGCTCCAGTGTGCCTTCCATGATGGGATGTATCCCCAGAAGATAATAACTGTTGAGAAGTTTAAAAGCCAGTATCTTCTTAACCTCATTTTGAGTCATTCTGGCCCTCAAATTTATTTTTATAGGCCTTTGTTCACTATGTAGCACTCTTGTTTCCTCCTTTCCATATGAATAGATTTAGAAGTGTATCTCCATTTGGAAGAAAGGAAGCATTCGAGTGATGTTTCTTCTAGGTCCTGTCTTGGAAACTTGTGCCTGACAATTATCCTCCAGGAGAGCAGCCACCTCCCCCTTCATACATTTATGGTGCACAGCACTTGCTTCGATTATTTGGTAAGAATTCCTACACTTTATGTCTTCTTTCCAGTTTTCATTTTTTTATTAGCATCGTTTAGTTATATATACTAGTGGCTTTCGCTACATTTTCGTATGTGTATAGAATTTATGGTGATCATAAAACAGTCACATCCCCTATTACTGCCCTTGTCCCAACTACTCATACTTCTGTTTCCATATGGGTGTGGGTGTGTGTCTGTGCGTGGACGCTGGGGCTTCATTAGAGTTGCTTATAAGTGCATGGTTGAGGAAGGAATCAAGAGGAATTTACCAGTGGCTTCAGCACTGAAGAAAATGTCTCTCCCTTCTAGCAATCATTAACATCTTTTAGATGCTCCAAGGAAAGTGGGGCTTCATTGTGCACTCAACTCTTACAGCCTCATATTGCTTGTTTTTTTTTTTTACAAGGTTGCATATTTTGTAAGCATGTAACTAATGTGGATACCTGGTTTCCTCTTCAAAGAAAAGGCATGCTATATACTTAAGTTTCACAAAATTTGTTCTGATAATACTTGACTTACTACTCTATCTTTCTTCAGTAACTTCAGTAACTTAATGTTTGATAACAGGAAAGAATAACTCAGATCATCACACAATGTCTATTGTAACATTCTGCTGATTGCAAATGCTTTTGTATTCAATCCAGTAAAACTTCCAGAAATCCTTGGGAAGATGTCCTTCTCTGAGAAGAATCTGAAGGCTTTACTGAAGCACTTTGATCTCTTTCTGAGGTATTTTATTACCTTGTCATACCTACCTCTGCCAGCAAACATGTGACTTTCTGAAAGGTAGCTCTGCGCTATTTTCCATATTAGGAGTGCGTGGTATGTTCTAACTGATAGGGTAAGCTATGAAGGAATTTTTTTTTTTTTTGGGTTTGTTCACTTGTTTGTTGTATGTTTCTTTTATCCTTCATTCTCCAGTTTCTGAGTCAACGCTACTGAGGTGAGGTTTGTTTTTATGTCACTAAAAGAGTTCAGTTAAATAACATTATAAGTAGAAAGTGAATTTTCTGATGTAGAAGTACTTAAGATTCACATCATTTAAATTTTTTTTTATTCAGGAGTACTGTAAGCATTGTTCTTTTGTGTGTACATAACTTATCTTAACTATTAATATAGAACTCTAATAAATGACTGAGCATGTGCTGACAACTATGAGTTCGGAGAAAGATATTGATTTCTTCACCTGATATATAGCCTGTCATTTTCTTATCTAATAGAATATTTGACATGTGATCTGATACCCATCTTTATGCTGTTGTCCACTAGTCTCTCTCTTTCATCCAGATGTTTGTTAACTACATCCTTACCTTGTCATTCAAGGCTGATCCTCACTTTGCCGCTCCCAGCTCGGCCTAGCTACTTGACCTTAAAGGGAGCCATTTTCTTTCTACTGGGCCCCATTCAGAATAATCAAGGATTTGCAAGAGTAAAGTATTCTACCCAGAGAAATCAGTCTTAAAGTTAGAAAAAGTGTTTTCCTATTGGAATTTTGTGTAAGATGTCCTTGAACATAATTACAGTTTCCAACATTTCAAGTGAAATTTAAAATACTTTCTTAAAATACTCTCTTCCCTCCCAGATGCCCTTCAGACAAAGCCATACATAAAACTTTGTGTATTAAAAGCAAATAATGCTGAACATGCATGAAGAGACTGCAGATTAGTGTTCAGAAGCCTACAGATTTTGAAGTATTCCTCATGAAAAGCAGAAGTTAGGACTTTAGGAAATAAAATAAAAAATTTTATAAATAAACCTACAAGATTTTAAAAATGTGTTCAAGGAGTGAGAGGGGAGATTGGGATTGGCTATATCAGTGTCTGTTGTATAATACTGTTAGAGTAAATAAAAATTGTTCTTTAAAAAAAAGTAGAAAATTGTAGCAATTAGAATCAACAAACTCAACAATGACCTTCGAGAAGAAATTAGTTGTCAAGTGATTTTTGACATGGTTTCTTATTTAGAAAGAAGTAACAGTTTTAGGAATTTGAACAGGTGGGAATTAGCAGGGTCATTCATGATAGATTTCACAGCTTGCTACTACTTGTCCAAATACACTCAGAATTTGTTTTGTTTTCTGTCTTGTGGGTCTGTTGGCCCTGTTTTGTCTTTTGAGATGGGGTATTATGGCATAGTTCCAGATAGCCATGAATCTTAGATTCTTTCCACCTCAACTTCCTAAATGTTTGGATTATAAGCATGAGCTGGTAATTCAATGGGCCACCCGTGACTCTCACTTTAAGTCCCTTCATTAACATATCGTAGATTCTTGAGGGACTCGCCACATTTTCATAGCCATCTTCAGATATACCAGTCTGATACATGTGATACTGTTATCCAGACTTGTAACTAAGTTTTTGTTATGGCTAGTTAGTATGCAAAGTGCTGGTAATGGTTGCTTTGTTGAGTTTTGTTGTAACTGAGTTTGTATAAGCCTTGTGAATTTCTTAATTGACATTTATTGGGTTTGTCATGCATTATTTTTATAGTTAGAAAAACAGGAAAGTCTTTTTAAGGTTGTTTTTCACAGTTGCATATATGTAATCTGATTGCCACCAAATCAAGTTCAGGTTCTGCTTTCAGTTCTTGAACACCGATGACAAAGACATGAAGATGAATAGTGACCGACAGGAACTAGTTAAGTGAGTGCTGTGCAAGTAATCAATAGAATCAAGACTAGAATCATGTTTCGCTTCTAGTATAAAAAAAGGTTTTCACATTTGATTGGTTGAAAGCTAATATTTAGCTTCAGGGTTTTCAGTTCTTAGTATGATGCTCATTAGTGCCATTTTTTTTTTAATTCTTCCTCTAGGTTTTTAGCAGAATACCATGATGACTTCTTCCCGGAGTCAGCTTATGTCGCTGCCTGTGAGGCACACTATAGCACCAAGAACCCCAGGGCAATTTATTAAAGTTCCGGTGGTTCTGGAAAAACAGAACCATCCAAGTGATGTGTTAATGAAATGGTAGACCTACCCTGGGGGTACTCTGACAGAAACAGGCTCTGTTATTTGAGTTGTTCACATACTGTTATTTCTATTAAGAATTACTTTCTGATCTCAGCATGGTGGTCCATGCCTTTGGGGGGGGGTCATTTTAATTAATTAATTAATTAATTGATGATTTCTTTAATGTAATGATTACTTCCTGGGTGCCTGAACGTATTCCAAAGTGACACTGCTATACCAGCTGTGTGTGCTAGCAGGATACAAACAGCCATAGCTGTCTTTATAGGGAAACGTTCATGAACGTTTACTTAGGGTTATTGTTCTGGTAGACATTGCGGTTGGTTTTTTAGCAAGAACCACATTGTCGGATTATTTGTTAATGTTAAACAAAATGGTTTTGAAAACTCTTTTCTGTTCAACAGATCTTAGTTTGTGCTTGGAAGCCACAAAGCACTCTCAAAGTATTTTGAGGGACTTGGTATTGATGGCAAAGGAGAACTTGCAACTATGCATTGCTTGTAGCGGTTCCCTTTCTCAGAAACATTATTTTTATTGCTCTAAATAAAGCATTGCCTGTCTTGAGATTTTACAGCCATACTCTGCTGTGTAATGTTATAGTTCCTTTTCTATAAAATGTTATTTTGGGTGATTTAAATAAAGCTTTGCCAGCTTTGTTTGAAAGAAGCAAGAGGAGCTTTGCTCTTGCCTTCCCTGTTCTTTTTATTGCAGGGCAACAGTGGGGTAACCTCTTCACTTACAACTTTTGTTCCATTTCTTTGCCCCTTGTATGTTTTTGTCATTTCCTTTTTTGGTCAGGCCTCTCTTTGCATCATGACTAGTGGTGGTTATGAGAAGTCACTGTGACCCTGTGCCAACTTGTGGCTGTTTTCTGGGTCCTGATGGGCCAGACACAGAAGTATTCTTCTCCAAGTTTACCGAAGCTGATATACTCTGCAGTCATCCCTTTAATCCTCATTGCCCTTCCCCCTCGCATGCCTTCCTCCTCTATGGTTTAGAGGGTTCTAAATGGCTGGAAAGGATACCAATGCCATGAAAGCATTAAACATAGCACTTCTCGTATGGCTCAGCTAAGTTGACTTTAATTTCAAAAGGCTGCCAGTCATGAACAAAAGGAGCCTCAACGACTTTTAACTGCAAATGGTCCCATTAAAGTGCCTTGTGCATCACTTCCTCCAGATTCACTACCTCCAGATTGCCTGAGTAGATAGATATCTTCCTTTCTGCATTTAGTTGCTCACACAGACTCAGGTTGGTGGGGACTGATTGGAATAACCTTTAAGTTCTTGGTAGATATGATTGTTAATTTTAATTGTCAATGTAATGGATTTAGAATCACTGTGGAAACACACTTCTGGGTGTGTCTATGATACTGCTCCAAAAAAGTTTGAACTGAAGAAGGACCCATCTTGACTGTGACCAGCACCATTCCATGGACTGGGGTCCAAGATCCAGTGAAAATGAGAAAGTAAGTGGGATTGCAGCATTCATCTCTTTCTGCTTCCTGATGATATTACCAACGGCTTCGTGTTCCTGCTACCATGCATCTCTGCCATGATGGCCTGGACCATCAAACTGTGAGCCAAAAGAGACCTTTTTCTCAGGTGTTTTGTTACAGCAACCACAAAAGTAGTTGATACAGAACATTGGTACTGTAGAGTGGCGTTGCTGAACTAAGCCTGACCATGTGGATCATAGGCATTTGGTTTAACACTCAGAATTTAGAACTTTGAGCTAGAGAAAACTTCAGGTGCTGTAAGTAGAGTTTAATGGGGTATTCTGGTGGCATTTTGGAAAACTAGAAGACCAAGACAAATGTGGACAGTGGAGATCTGGCTCATGGGGTTTTGGAGAGGAAAAGAGACTATTGAGAATTGAGCTAGAGACCATTTGTGTGATAATCCGGCAAAGAATCTGGTATTGGTCCATGTTATCAGTGCCATGTCCTGGGAACTTGAATGAGGCTAGCTTCTAAAGTAATAGACTCATTTTCTTGGTGGAAGAAATTTGAAAATAAGTTAGCATTCACACTGTGTCATGTTTACTGAATGCTGCTGTCATCCAGGTTTCCAGTGAGAGAATGCACAAATGGGGGAAAAAAAAAAACAAAACAAAAACCAGATGTATCAGCTTGGTGGGGAAAGGAATGAGTTTAGGCACAGGCAAGGTAGATGTAGAGAAATCAGCAATGGTTGTAAGAAGAGATTAGTCACATTAAAGACAAGCCTTGTGCTGTGTAATAGAAATTAGGGAAGGTACTCTAAGGGCAGGACCCCACCCAATATCTACTCCATTCGTGAAAATGAGTTCATTTGAAAGGATGAAACCTAAACTAAGAATATTGCTGATGGTGTTTTCTGCTTCTTGAAAGCAGTTACCTAAGAAAGCCTTTCCCCATGGTTGGCACATAGACCAGTATACTGGTAGTCTGAGGAAGCCAGGTCACAATAGACCCTGCAGTCTCACTCACATGGTAGTGGCATCCAGATGTGAAAGATGCAAGAGTAAAGGGGTCATGGAGACTTACACTAGAGTTCTAGAAAGCACCAAGACCAGGCAATATGTAGCAGGGTTGGAGTGTGTGTAAACTAGCCCCAAGAGGCCATTATGTGAAGACGTAAGAGTGTAGTTTAAGTTGCACATGGACCCCAGGATGTTGTAAGGAGCCAGAATTGTGGGTTCTGTGTAGCCTGAGGAAAGCTGCAAGCATGGAATGGAGCCAACCCAATAGAGAAGCAATGTCTGCTGCAAGTGGCAAAGCTGGAGAGGTGTGACTACCCAAGCCCTTGGAAGCCCATCATGAGCTCCAGATGCTGGACACAGAGCTGTAGGATTTGGTGTTTGCCCTGCTGGATGTTGGTCTTTCTTTGCTCTCATCTTTCCTTGTTATACTCCCCATTCTTCCCTTTGGGAATGGGAATGTTTATTCTTTGCCATGGTGTATTGAAACTTTGTTAAGTTGCATTAAATTTTATAGAAGTTCACAAGGAAGAGATTGCCTTGAGTCTCAGATAAGACTTTGGACTGTTTAACACTACTGGGACTGTTAAAGACTGTGGGGAGTTTCAGGGAAAGACTAAATGCATTTTGAATTATAAGATGAAAATGAGAATGTAGGGGCCAGAGGTGGAATGCTATGATGTAGTCATATGTTTGGGTGTCAGGGTGGCCAGGGGTAGACTAGTGATGCTTAATCTTGATTATCAACTTGGCTGGAATGAGAATCACCCTGGAACCACAACTTTGGATATGTCTCTATGAAGGTGCTTCCAAAGAAGTTTAACTGAAGAGGGAGACCCACCCTAAATGTGGATGGCACCATTCTATGACTTGGGGTCTCAAAATAAACAAAAAGGACAAAGTGAGTGGAACATCAAAATTCTTCTCTCTCTGCTTCCTCACAGTGAGTCTTGCTGCCATGACTTCCTCTACCATAATGGACTGTATCTCTTCAAACTGTAAACCAAAATAAACTCTTCCTTCTTTAAGCTGCTTTTGTCAGGTATTTTTTCACAGTAATGGGGGAGGGGTAAGACAAGAGGAATCCTCTTCTTTTGACTTAGATGCTGGCTTAATGCTTGTGCACCTGCAATATATTCACTGATTTCAATGCTAAACAGTTTGCTGTGGGTAGATCCAGGGAGGAGAAAATCAGTGGCTTCAGTTGTGTACCCACTAATGACTGCACCAGTCTCCAGTGAGTAGTCCCAATCAATTGTCACACAGATTGGCACTCATTCAACTAAATAGGCCACAAAATAAACCCAAACATCATGAATCTGGAAAAGAAATTGTTGAGTGGGTGTGATGTGTGTGACAGGGATGGGACAGGTCTGAGAGAAGGTATGTGGTAGAGGGTAGTTAGAATACATTGTTCTCATGTATGCAATTGTCAGATTACAAAATTAATTTTTAAGAAAAGGTGTAGTCACAAATGTTAATAATCTGAGCACCCAGGATGTGAAGAAAGGAGGATCAGAAGTTCAAGATTATCTTCAGCTAATTCAAGGACAGCCTGAGCTACATGAAACTGTCACAAGGAAGTAAAAAAGCAGGGTAAGGCAGGGAAGAAACTGGCTGTACAAGTTAGATCAAGTGACAATTCTTTTTTTTTTTTTTTTTTTTAAGTAGAGGGTTAGGGGAATAGATCAGTGGTTGAATGCTTGCCTAGCATGCACATGTGCAGTGTACCTGTGAATTACCTACCTGTGAGCAGAGGGAGTGGTGCCTATCTAGCCTCACTCCCTCTGAACAGTGACAGCATCAACTCAGAGAGGGACCCAGATAATTTTATCTAGATGGCACATGTGATCAATATGCATCACATTCATCACAAGTCAAGTAAAATGCAAAAAAAAAAGAAGAAGAAGAAGAAGAAAAGGGAGGGGAGGGGAGGGAAGTGTGGAGAGGTGGAGAGGAGGGAATGGGAGATAGCTCACTCAATAAAGTTTCTGCTGCACAAACCTGACAAAGTCGGTTCAGATCCCCTGACACTCCTATAAAAACTGAGTGTAGTATAATGCCAGATGTCTGTAACCAGAGAGCAAGTGGGCCCTAGAGCTCTCTGACCATCCAGTCTAGCCAATTGGTAAGCAAGAGGTTCAGTGGCTCAAAACATAAGACAGAGAGCAATGCAAGAAGACATCTGACTTCTATACACACATGTACAAATGTGCATACATGGGAAAAGAAAGGAAAGGAGAGAAAGAAGGGCGGAAGGGGGTGGGAGAGAAAGCAGTGCATCCCAGGAACCTTTTCTTAGACAGTATTCTTCACACTTTGTGGTTGTGTTAGAATGTGAGTTCAGACTCAGCAGGTAAGGGATGGGACCCTAGAGTCTGTACTTTCAAGATGGGCCAGGGCTGCTGACACCGCTGGTTCCCAGCCCACACCTTGAATAAGGCAGTTGTCAAACACTGTGGAAGGGGATAGGATATAGGCTAATCAGAGATGAGCCTGGGAATGAGATTGAGATGTAGATGGTCATGTGCACATACTTTCTGTATGCTATTTTTTATTTTTTTTTATTTTTTTATTTTTTTTTAGTCTCAGGAAAGCTGCAAAGAAATGGATTGGTTTGGAAACAAAATAGAAATCAAACTGAGATCTGTCATAATGCTAAAACTGTGCTCCCTTAATTGTTTCCAAGTTAAGAAACCACAATAGTGAAGTTCTATTGGCCAAAGGGTGGGAGGGAGGCTGAGGGATTAATTCAGAGTCAATTTCTGCAGTCTTTTCACTTTCTCCACCTTCTCCATCCTTCCCCGAATCCTCCAGGGTTCTTACTGTTTGAAACTGCCATCTGCTTGGCCATCTGCTTCATCCTGCTCTTTAAAAATCAGGCCTTTTTCTTTTTAAAGTTTAAGGCTTCATTGTTTGCACAGTTAAAGCAAAGTATCCTTTTTCTAATTCTAAAATTGGAGGGATGATTGCGAAAGAAAGTCATTTATCTAGGATTTAACCAAACTCTCTAGAGCTTATTTTTAATATTTTACATTTTGTTGTGGATGTGTGTCTCTGTGTATATGTGGGGGGGGAGTCACAGGACAACTTTCTAGAGTCTGTTTTTTTCTCTTTCCACCATGTGGGCAATCAGGACTGATAGCAATAGCCTTTAGCTCCCACCCCAACTCTTGCCACTGTCTCACCAGCCCACATATTCAAGAGTTTTTATTAATGTTTGCCCACCTAGAAAGTACCAGTATATCTCTGTTTCACCATCCAAATCCTTTGTCACATGGGATTTAGTAAGAACTGTGACATAAGTGCTAAATGAACAGGGTTGCTATAGGTACATTTAAGAATGTTGGGAAATAGCTGCCTCTAGTCCAGCAGATGGAACTCAAGTCACAGTTATGAAGTACTTTAAAACAGTTGATATCTTCATAGTTCTGGATTTTTTTTTTTTTTTTGTCGGGGTTTTGAATAGCTCAGGCTGGCCTCAAGTTTATTATTGTAGTCATGGATGACTTTGAACTTCTGATTCTTCTGCCTCCACCTCCTGAGTGCTTGGACAATAGGCATATACCACCCTGCCTGGTTTATATGGTACTGTGGGTCTAACCCATAACATTGCTTGCTAGATAAACACCCTACCAACTAACTGAGTTACATCTCCAGCTGGATGGTTCCTGATTTCTGTCCATCGACAATCAACATGATCTATCTAAATGGGTAAAATAGTAGAATCTTGCATTTTTATAAGGTTTTAAAAATCATTTTTATTAAGTTTGCTGAACTTAACAGTTATCAACAAACTGTTCAGAATGCTAATTAAAGTATTATCAGTTAATGGACAGTATTTCCAAGGCCAAAATTAATACTTAAAAGTGATTATAGTTATATAGAGTAGCACTGTTCATTCATAAGGTGAGACTTGATGACTATTCCCAAGGCCAAGGCCAAAATTAATAAAGTGGATATAGTTCTATAGGTCAGCACCATTCATTCACAAGTTGAGACATGCTGGCTGCCTCTTTGCCTCTGACTTTAATGTACTCCAGCCACTCTTCCTCCAAGAAGGCCATGTACACTTCTGCCTCAGGGACACCGTCTTGGCTGTCAGGGACACGGTCTTGGCTGTCCTCTCATCATGATTTAATGTTCTTGCTACAGACATCCACCTGCCACACTCCCTTACTACCTTCAGACATTTTGTTCAAATGTCACCATATTCTCCCTCTTTTCCTTCCCCACAACAGTATTTTGATTAGGGTCCATATTATCTTTAAACAACCTCAGAGAGTAGCTAAGCAGGACTGAGTCTGTTTTCTGAGTCTGTTAGTTGCAGTATGGCGATTTGATGTAATTTTTTTTAATTTTTAATTTTTTTACAATTAAGTCATTTTATATCCTGATTGTAGCCCACTCTCTCATCTCTTCCTGGTCTCACCCTCCCTCCCACTTCCCCCCTAGCCTCTTCCGCTAGGCGACTGAAAGGGGAAATCCTCCCCTGCTATCCGACCCTAGCTTATCAAGTCTCATCAGAACTTCCTGGATCCTCTTCCTTTGTGGCCTAGCAAGGCTGCTCTGCCAGGGAAAGCGATCAAAGAACAGGCAACTGAGTTCATGGTAGAGATAATTCCTGCTCCCCTTACACAGGTACCCACACGGAGACTGAGCTACATATGGGCCACATATGAGCAGGTGGCCTAGGATCTTCTTCATGCATGGTCCTTGGTTGATGCATCAGTCTCTGCAGGGCGCCCTGAGCTCAGATTTTTTTAGCTTTTAGTTGATCTCCTTGTGGAGCGCCTATCTCCTTTGGGTCCTTCTATCACACCCCCCTTCTTCCATAAGACTCACTGTGCTCTGCCCAAAGTTTGGCTGTCAGTCTCAGTATCTGCTTCGATCCCCTGTTGAATGGAGCCTTTCAGAGGACCTCTATGGTAGGGTCCCATCTTGTTTGTTCTCTCCCAGTGCTTCTGATGTCTTCTGATGGCTATCCTGTTTGTTATTCTGAATAAGATTTAAGCATCCTTCCTATGGTCCTCGTGTTTAGCTTCTTTAGGTCTGTAGATTTTAGTATGGTTATCCTATATTATATGGATAATATCTGCTTATAAGTGAGGATATACTATGTATCTTTCTGGTTCTGGGTTACGTCACACAGGATGAACTTTTTATTATAAATTGGTGAGATGGGCCTGTGGCTTCAGCTCTGCGATAGAGTACTTTCCCTTCAAGCTTGAGGACCAGGCTCAATCCTCAGCACCAAAAATAATAACAATGATGTCATCCACTTTGAACTTAAACTTTATCTCATGGGGTTGGTCAAGAGAAAGGAGCTATCTCAGCACTTTAGGCTTGACCACAGCTTTCAAGAACTATTCTGGGCCATTGGTCACCTTCCAAATCATTAACTTCAAAACCTGCCAATCATAGCAGCCTTTTAGTGTAGGGCAATACTAAGAGTGTTTTATTCCATGCTACCAAGCCAACAATAATAGGAGCCTGCATGACAGACAGGTTCTATAATCTTCCACAGAAACTCTCCAGAGCCTAGCTTCTGTATCCCTTCTGGGTTTGATGCTGTGGAGTTTTCTTTAAATCATTCTCAGCTTCATTTTCAGTGAGCAGGAGACAGCTCTGACCACAGAACAGCATGAAAATGAGGAAAGCGCTATTTAGCATCCACTAGTCTTGCTGACCAGTGAACTTCCAGGACTTGTCTTCACCTTCTACCCCTCCAGAGAAACATTGGAGTTACAAGCATGCTACTATTGCACACAGATTTTATGTGAGTTCAGGAGATTTGAACTCAGGTCCTCAGGCTTATGTGCCAAATACTTTACCCACTAAGCAATCTTCCCAGCCGGTGAATGTTGTGGTGTGTAGATTATACTTTTTTTTTTCAATTTTACCTTAAGGTAAAATTGGCATTTTTGTTCTGCACCAAATTTATGGCACATGCATCATGAAAACGCATTTATCTGGCAATGTGGCATGTTTTCTTCATACCTCACTCTTTAAGGAAGATCAGGGTTCC